TTGCAGCAATGATAGCGGTGTGCGAGCGTGGCCAAGGGGCCACTAAGGAGGTGACGGCTCTAAAGGCCATTATTGCTACGCTGAGGAGAGATGTAGACCAGTTGAAGTCCACCGACATGTCTATGATTTTCGGTACAGTGGAGATCCCAGATGTTCCAGTTGAGCCAGATTTGCCTTCGGCTACCACCGAAGATGATGTTCGAGCAGAGGAGGTAGTTGATCTCGATTCTGAGGTTGAGATGAATAAGGAGATACTTGGGGTTGCTGAGGAGGTTTCTGGCGAGGGCCTTACGGAGACTCAGGAGGCCATGGTAGATTTAGTTATGCAGACTTCTTTGGCAGACACACCTCTAGCTGATCCTAGTGGATCGAGTGTTGTTGAGGTGACTCCGGGCAATGAGCCCCAAGATCAGAGTGATGCACCGGGCATTGATGCCCCGACAGATGGAGCGATTGTGTAGACAAGATCCCTTTTTTACCTCCATCTCTGTCTTCTTTTATTGATTTTTGGATGTTTTATTGCATTTGAGGACAAATTGCTTTTTGTATGTGGTGGGGTGAGGTATTTCCATACCTACCTCTTGTGATTATTGTTTTGTTTATACATTGGGTTTTGTGCTATAAATTGTGTTTTGGCACTATTTTTGTGGATATTTAAGCTTGTGGCTCCTTGTTTGATTGTAAATGGTTTTTGACCCTTTTTGAAAAATGTGCCACCCTTTTGTTTGTGTTTGAATGTGGTTGTTCGTGTGCAAATTTGAGTGCCGATTGTGATCAATACCGATGACTTGAATAGTGCTCTCAATCGAACAAACATGAATGTGTGGCTACGATGAGGCCAAATGAAGTTGCATAAGCAATATGTGAACTCTTTGCATCTCGTTGTGACTAGTCGATTGTCAAATTGAGTCTCTTGTGATGAACATTGCACACTAGTGAAAGTGTGGAGTCTTGTTTGACATTGGTGTCAATGCCTTGTGTGATGAACTTACCGTGAACCATGTGTGATGTCACTTAGAATTTGCCCCGTTGGTCCGGTTGACCAAGTGATGTGAGCTTTTGAAATGATCTTAGGCAACAATTTTAAAGAGTGAACCAATTTAACATTATACTTATTTTGTTGCCTACCTTGTGAGTGTGTGATCTTCGGTTGAACACCCTTTGAGCCTTATCCTTTTCTTGGAAGAAACTTGATGAAATTGTGACCTTTTTTTGTTCCCTCACCCTTAATCCTCAGGAGATGTGGTTTGTTTGAATAACCAACTTAGGCCAAAAGCCTAAGTTGGGGGTGTGGTGAAAAGAGGAGGTAAATCAAGAAATGTGAAGGAATTCCCCTCTACCCATGGTTTTGAAAAAGATGGAACCCCTCCATACAAAAAAAAGGAAAGTAAAAGAAGAAGGAA